TGCTGCATTTAAGTAGCACAATATACCCAGTTCTCTATATTTATTTCCAGGTAATTTTGAGTTATGAAAAAGACAGGTTTCAGGGTCCAGTCCTATCTCCATTCCAGTGATATTCGTGATTTGATTTATAATTTTTTCCCAATATACTTGTATTTTTGAGCATTCCCACCATATGTGATACATCGTGCCCAACCCTCCACACCCTCGCCAACACCAAGGTTGCTTCTCCTCACTCATCTTGTGCTCTATCACTGGTGTAAGATACCACCTTATCAAACATTTAAAATTAATTTCCACCTCACGCATGCTAATATTTCGTGTACCATTCTAAATATTTTCCTCTGTGTGTGCTCTTCCCACTCCACTCCTAAATCCTTTTCCCATTTTTTCTATATATTTTAATTTAAACTTACTATCTAAATCCGTGAGAGTTTTATATGCTTTAGCAGTGCTGTGTTTCCCATCACCTCTGTCTTCTAAGTATTTCTCAAATTCATTCCACTCTTTCCTAGTTCTAAGGGGCTTCGTCAATTTCTCCACAAATTGTTTCAATTGATTATATCTCCATATATCTATCCTAGTGAAAATCCTTCCCTCTTCCCTTTTCAAATCCTCCAGTGTTCTTAAGTGTACCCCCTCCATTACATCTCTCAGCTGAGCGTCTTCCTTCATAATCCATCTACCTGAAATTTCCTCTTTACCTGGGGGGAAAAACTCTGAATTTCTTAGTGACATCAACAGTGAATTAAAGTCCCATTTCCTCTGTTTGTGCATTTTATCCCACTCCCTTATTACAATTCTCGTGTATATACTCGTGCTCTCCTCTAATTCTCTATACTGTGGTGCCACCCATACACTCCTACCCAGATCCTTTCTACTAAGTGTGTTTTCAATTGTGACCCAATGTTTACTCTTTGAGTTATGTGTCCAGTCAAAAATTCTTGCTAAAATGACTGCCCTATGGTATCTTTTAAAGTCCGGTAATCCCAGCCCCCCTTTTTCTTTATTTCTGCTTAGCACATCATATGATATCCTAGGTTTTTTATTTTTCCATATATATTTAGTTACCATTCGCTTAATTGTCTTAAAATACACCTCTGGAAGATTAATGGGAATCATCTGAAATTTATACAGTACCTTCGGGAGAATTACCATTTTTATCAGGTTAATACGACCCAGCCAGGAAGGATTTCCACTACCCATTTTCCTCAATTCCTCTCTGATTTTGTTTAACATTGGGATATAATTAGCTTTATAAAGATTTTTCTGTGAGGGAGTAAGTTTTACTCCCAGGTACTTTATTTCTCTATCTTTCCATATAAAGGGAAACTCTCTCTGTATATTTTCTTTTTCGCTCTTTGGAAGATTTATATTTAATATCTCTGTTTTGCTCGGGTTGATTTTTAGATTTGACATTTCCCCATATTCCTTCAGTGTTTTCATTAGGTTAGGAAGTGTTATTCTCGGGTTTCCGACATAGAATAATAAATCATCCGCAAAAGCGGCTATCTTATGTTCTGTCTTTCCAACATTTATTCCCCTTATATCTATATTTTTCCTAATTGTTGATAACAGGGGTTCTAATGATAGAACAAACAACAGTGGGGAAAGTGGGCATCCCTGTCTGGTTCCATTTGACATAGAAAAGGTCTCTGATCTCTCTCCGTTTACCATTACCATCGCGGACGGTCCTTTATACAACTTTCCAATCCACTTTCTCATCCTACTACCCAATCCCAGGATCTCCAGTGTGTCTATCATAAAGCGCCAGTTAACCCTGTCGAACGCCTTCTCCGCATCAATCGAGAGCAGCACTACTGTTTTTTTTTTTTCCGTTTTACTTTTCTGTATAAGCATCAGGGACCTCAACCCATTATCTCGACCCTCTTCCTCTAACAAAACCCACCTGATCTCCATGTATCCAATCTGGCATCAGATCTCCTAACCTATTCACCAATACTTTTGCATACAACTTCGTATCTACGTTCAATAATGATATCGGTCTATAACTTGAACAATTGGTGATGTCTTTACCTTCCTTATGTATCAAAACTACCTGTGCCAGAAGGGATTCCTGTCTTATCTCCATCTCTCCCCCCAACGCCTCCATATATCTCGTTAACTTAGGTACCAGTAAATCAGCATATTTTTTATAATACCTCACTGTATACCCATCTGGACCTGGACTTTTTCCCGTCTTAAAGCTTTTTAATGCTATTTGTAGTTCTTCCTGTGTGATTTCAGATTCTAAGGAGTTTAATAGTTCTGCATTTAATTTTGGTAATCCTGCCTTCCTTAAATAATCCCTTCTTTTTTCAATATTTATCATTTTATCTTTATTTATATCATCCTTGGGGGCAATATTATATAATTTACTATAGTAATCTTTAAATACCTTTGCAATGTCTTTGGTTGAATGGACTAACTCTCCCTTGGAGTTTTTTATTTTATCTATGTAGTTCCTATTCTTCTTTCTCCTCAAGGCGCTCATCAAATATTTTCCCGATCTATCTCCCCATTTATATCTTTCACCAATGATCTTATTAAAAGTTCTCAATTTTTTTCTTCCTCCATTACTTTCTCTAGTTCTTCCCTCTTTTTTATCACTCTTTGCTCTATCTGTTTCCTTATGTCATTTTTATGTAGGAGTTCAATCTCAGCTATTTCCTTCAAAAGCCCACTGATCTTCTCTCGTTTCCCTTTTTTTCTTTGCCCCAATCGCAATAAGGATTCCTCTTATATATGCTTTATGTGCCTCCCACACTGTAGCTAGTGATACATCCCCTGTTTCATTTTCCTCAAAGAACCTCTCTATTTCCTCCCTGATCTTCTGATCAGTATCTGGATCCATGAGGAGTGTCTCATTCAACCTCCATGATAGGCCTCCTGATACCTTCCCTCCCCATCTTAATTCCGATACTACAGGTGCATGGTCCGAGAAAGTTATTGCTTCTATTTTAACTTTAACCAAATCCTCAACAAGTCGATGGTCTACCATAATATAATCCAGTCTAGAGTATGTCCTATGTACACTAGAGAAAAAGGTGTAATCTCTATCTCTCATGTTAACAACTCTCCAGCTATCCACCAATTGGCACTCTTTCATCACCGTTTTCAATAATCGCATGGACCTGTTTTCCCCACTCTGTACTCTGGATGTTGTATCTATTTGTGGGTCCATACAGATGTTAAAGTCTCCCACCACTATTAGATATCCCTTCCCAAAGTCCATCAGTCTTCTCATATCCCCTTTCAAAAACTTCTCTGGCTTTCTATTAGGGCAATATATGTTTACAAGCGTACATTCTATGTCCTGTAGTTTAACTTTCAAGAACAGAAACCTCCCCTCCGGGTCCGTCTTTCTATCTTCTAGTTCAAACCTAATGTTTTTTTTGCAAATCCTATAGCTACCCCCTTAGCTCTCTTAACTGGGGAATCTGCGTAATACCATGTTGGATGTTGTCTAGAGTTTAGCTTAATATTTTTTTTTAACTCTAGATGTGTTTCCTGCAAAAAGACAACTGAGGCCTCTCTGTGTTGTAGTTCCCTGTATAGTCTAAATCTTTTACCTGGGCAATTTAATCCATTTACATTATGGGTTACCAAGCGTATTTCCTCCATATTTTATTTGTCTTCTTCCTATTTCACCCTTTCCTTTCCTCCTCCTCCTCCCCCATACCTCTCCTTTCATACAAGATGCCAGTTTTAGGAATCTCTATCCCCCATCCCTCCCTAATTCTCTCCCTCCCCTCCACCCCCCCCCCCCCCCCCCCCACCTCCTCCCCCCGCCTCTCTCCCCCCCTCCCTCCCTCCACCTACCTCCCCTCCCTCAGATACCCCTCCCCTTCCTCTCCCCCCCCCCCCCCATTAGGCTTTTTGTTTGCCTATGAATCATTTGTGGAAAAGGTCCCACTTTTGATTTCTACCTGGGAGTTCGGCTCTGTCCATGTGACGCTCACCTTCCCCCCCTCCTCCCCGGTGTCCCTCTATTTATCTGCTCTCTATTTTCTCTCCTAATTAGCTGCCATTCCTCTTTTCCCAACATATATGACTCTCCCTCCTCCTCTTCCCATTCCGGAATCTCTATTCTCTACAATTCAAATTTGTTACAAAAATCTTTCATATCCTCAGGGGTTCTCAATAATGCAGTGACTCCATCTCTCCAGCCGATTAAACATGCTGATCGACCCCATCTATACTGCACATTATGTCTTTTCAACAGTTCCAACAATGGTTTCAATGACCTTTTTCTTCTCAATGTCCCAGGTGCTATATCTGCAAAAATTTGTATATTTTTCCCTCCATATTTAATATTCGATCTTTCCTTAATCTTCTTCCATATCTCATCCTTGTCTCCATAGTTATGAAATTGGACAATTATATCTCTTGATTTTTCTGGACCTTTTTCTTGTTGGCGTTTTCCTATCCTATAGACTCCATCCAATTTAAACGTCTCCACGCCAGATCTATCCATTATGGAGTTCAAAATTTTGCATGTGGTCTCCTTTAAATCTTCCCCCTGTAGCAGCTCTGGGACTCCTCTTATTCTAATGTTATTTCTCCTTTCCCTATTTTCTTGGTCCTCCATCATATAAAGCAGTCTTTTTTGTTCCTTCCGGGTATCCACTATCAATTTCTCTATTTTTTTTTGGGATAATTTGGTATGGTATTTGACTGTCTCCTCCGTTTCTTCCACCCTATTAGCAGCTGTCCCATTTCTTTCCACATTATCCCCATCTCTTGCTTTATAGATTTTTCCAGGTTTTTAAACATCTCCGCCATTTCCTTTTTATTCGGTATTTGCAAGTCTTTTTCAGTTTCTCCCATCTCTATACCTTCCATTATTTGTTGGCTATTGTTAGCTGCTCCCAGGGAGGATCTTGAGCTATTATCTAAGCTTGTTTCCAGGTCACTCCTTTCACTTATTTCCTGGGATCTTATTGGAGTTATACTCACTGGGAACCCAAGGGGTTAATCCTCTGCAGTGTGTAAAAAGGCTGTTTGATCCTGACTTCTCTGATCCTCCCCTTCTTCCAGTGCCCTCCTCTTATCTCCTGATAAGACATATTGTGTATAGACACTCTGCACATGCTCTGTTTGTGCATTGCTAGAGAGGTTTTTTTTTTTCCTTGGGAGAGTGCATGTGATCAGCACAGGGCCAATCAGCACTGTCCAGATAAAGGTCAGGGGTCCTGCATCCTCCTAGAGCAAAATGAAAACTCCTCATACAAGCATTAACCAGTGCTCCACTGGACACTGATAGAAGTCACAAGACTGCTCTAACTGCGGATGAGAAAAGGTATTTAGCATTTTATATTTGCTAAAATAACTGCATTTCCATGCTCTGTGTACTGTGAGAGACCAGAGTGAATGTGACCCAGGGCCCTGGGTTTAGTAACACTTTAATCCTCCACTGATCAGATCCAAGAGTATGGTTCCTTTAAATGGTGTCCTCTGCATGTAGCATCCTTTCCTCTCTGCTCTTCCAAGAAAAGTGCTTTACCACAAAACACATTTTTTATGTCAAACCCACCAATAAAATAGGTCATTCATTATCAAGGTGTACTGAAACACACCCACATATACAACATAAACAGAAAACACAGGTATTCTGGCTCATAATTAAAGCACTTCACTTCCTGTATGGGCATGAGGCATATTGATGTCATCCAAGACTCCGCCCCAATGCATTTCGTCAACTCACCAGAACACATGACTTCCTCAGGGGAATTCCATAAGGTACATCAGGGACTCCCTCTGGTAGTCTATGAATTAGAATCATCCCAATAATGTTCTCCTCTCTAATCATGCAGCTTTCATTTTGTTGGTGGCAGTGTCCACGTTAGAACATTCACTTCATAAATAGTGTTACAGTCAGGGCCGTGGATAATGGGGTGCCACCAGTCCTCCTATAGGGGGCCCAGGCCAGCAGGGGGGCCCAGCAGGTTGATTGGAACAGGTCTTGAGAACGCCCTGTGGGTGGGGCGAAACACGTCAACGCACTTCCGGTTGGCTGTCCGTACGTCCCGCGTCATTTCCAGTGAGTGGAACACGCGCTGAGCGGTGCATTCCAAGTGGCCATCTTGGTTCATTGTTGAATGGTGTATCCTGTCATCCTGCTGTTGGATCAGGCTGTGAGGTCTCGTCTTTTAAACAAGTGTGGAACCTGTGATTCTGTGGGAGCTCAAAAGCAATAAACGCTGTTCATGATCATGAGAAATGTGAGTGGTCTGGTAAATGGTTTTTGGTATAACACAGTTTATTAGCAGTATTACACTGTTGATATTTATTTTCCCTGCACTGCTGTGGAGCTGGAGAGAGGAAAAGGCAGGAGCGAGTGGAGGAATATCTTATACTTTGTGGTGGAAAGGAATCCTGGAGGTCTTAAAGAAGGTCTAGGAGCCCAAAATAATCCTAAAAGGCGCCACACTCGACAACATCTGGTGAGTGCGGTAGATGTTGGTTTTTCACTGGTGGATGGTGGAAGTATTTTTTCTGGCACTGGGGAGTAAAGATTTTATATCATTTTGGACTTTACATATATTTTTGGACACTTTATTATGGGCAACACAATAATTATTTAATTGTTTTGGAATATTCACATATTGATTTAATAATATTTTTTGTCACAATTACTTTACAATTTTATTGAGGTGGTGATCTGCGCTAATTATTGTTTTTTTTTTTCTGTTTTGGTTTGTTTGACCTGTGTGCAGCAGCAATTCACAACCTTGGTTCATTATTGTTTTATAAGGGGTGATCCTGTGCACTGGGGTTTTTATATTGACATATAAAACATAGATACATTTTTCTAAATAAGTTCAACTACATCCTGAAAGTCTGCATAATATATGGTGTTAAAACTATGTTTGTATATAGTGAAGTCTGCACAGTGGACTGTGGTTAATGTGGAAATGAACTGGCTGCTCCTAGCAATACCACAAATGTGTGAAATACAAAAAAAATGTGTAAATACAAACATAAATAACTACTGCTCTGCCACTGATGAGTTAATGTGTCACACTACATGTTCTACATGCTTAGTCCAGTGCTGTCAATAGTGTTAAATGAGTGAAATATTGTTCAATTAGTGTACCAATCATGAACATCAATATTCCCAGTATGAATCAGTGGCATTCAAAAACATCAAACCATAAATATACATCAACACAGAGCACTTGTATGCAGGTTCATTCAAATACATAAAGTCCCAATGTGAGAAACTTTCCCCATCCACATCCAATGTGAAACTCAGTGATGCCATGACAGTCTTCTTATCCGTGACAACCTTAGTGATAGGTGCACCGCTTAGTTTTTCTTCTCCAGAGCCCCACTCACCACAAGATGTTGACCACCTGCATAGGTACAGTAGGTCAGACTGCGCGTTTGGTGCTTCAGCACACTCCTGCAGCAATCAGCTGCCGATATGATCTTGATGCGTCTATACGCTAATTACAGGCTCCATATGCGAAAAAAACCTCCAGACCATCCACAATACTCCTCCGCCACCATAAAAACATCAAAGGAAAACTTCCATAGCGTAATACTGTATTTTTTGAGTGAAAAAACTCTTAAAAATGCACTTACATACAAAATATGTGTATGGCACTGTAAACGCTCCTGGTGACATCATACGATGAAACGCATAGGGAGGGCCTTGACAGCACCACTTTTGTCTCTAGAGAGTGAGCACAGAGGATTGCTGTGTCCTAGGATTTAACACAAGAGGTTAATCCTCTGCAGTGTGTAAAAAGGCTGTTTGATCCTGACTTCTCTGATCCTCCCCTTCTTCCAGTGCCCTCCTCTTATCTCCTGATAAGACATATTGTGTATAGACACTGTCAGGAATGGACTGGCCAGCAATGGTGGGACTCACCTGCCTTTTGATCTGCAGTACCAGGGATGGCCAGCGGGTGCTCCCAGCAATCAGAGACTCAACTTTGCAGCCAGCTAACACCTGGAACTGATTATGCTGGGGTATTTAAGGGATGGCCAGACCCACAGACTCTGCCTTGGTGTGTGTTTGTCCTGGGCCCTGTATCTGTCCTGCATCCTGTTTCTGTTCCTTTGCTGACCCTCTGTACTACGCTGCTTGCTACCTGTTCTGAACCTGGCCTGTGACCCCAACCATTCTCCGCTTGCTCCCCCTGTAGAGTGAGCACAGAGGATTGCTGTGTCCTAGGATTTAAAGTGCTATACACATGTTTTATATGTAAGTGCATTTTTAAGTGTTTTTTTTACTCAATAAATACAATAAATATTACCTGGTTGCATTAAGACCCTGAGGTGGAGGGGCACATTTTAAGTTGATAGGCTATAGAGGTATATGTTTATATGTGGGCCACTATCACAGATGTAGTGTGGCACATTCACTCATTAGTGGCAGCGCAGCAGTTAAAACTATGTTTACCCTCATTCCGGGGGGCGTGCTCTGTCGAGATGGGGGCGTGGTCTGCCGAGATCCAAGATGGTCATGTGATACAGGAGCTCCTGCCAGTCTGAGACCTTGCATTGATATTAGCAGAGGAGCGGGTGAGACAGAGCCATTACATGATGGGGAAAGCGGACCGGAAGGTCACCGGCTCCCGTTCCCGCGGGCACATAACCCCCAGCAGTCCAGACATATTCAGGAGCTGTTCATCTCTCAGCAGAGGACAGGCCACATGCAGCACCCCCCTCTCCCCCCCTCCTCCCTCCACTACAGAAACATGTGCTCAGGGTGTACAGAGCACAGACACTGGGGCTGGCATGGAATCTGTCCCACAGCATGATCTCTCTTCAGACACTCATACACTTTCTTTAAGAGATCTGCAGGCAGTTGCAGCTGACATTAAAGCTACTTTTACCACAGCCCTCAGTGACCTAAGGGAAGACCTTCATTTGTTAAGTAGGAGGTGGAATTCACAAGCAGATCTAATGCTGATGCCATAGTGGAGATACAGCAGTTGTCAGTATCGCACACATCTCATATCCGTGATTTTTATAGACAGATTGAAGATCTGGATAATAGAGGTTGCAGACATAATATCAGATTGCGTGGCTTGCCTGAATCTGTGGAGCCGAGCAACAATCTTCAATGATCTCCTGGGCCGTCCACCTGCTGCACCCATTGATCTGGAACGTGCACACAGAGCGCTTCACTCCAGAGGCCGAGATTCTGACCCCCCCCAAGAGATGTGGTGTGTTGCTTGGTCATCTTTCCAATCAAAGAAGACCCTTTCAGAAGGGCCAGAGAAAGACGATGCCTTTTATTTCATGGTAATGAGATACACCTGCTCCAGAACCTCTCTTCCATAACCTTGCAACAAAGGCGAGAACTTCGCCCCCTGCTAGACACACTTTCTCTCTCATAACATACCATACAGCTGGCGATTTCCATTCTGTCTCTCCGCTCAAGCTCAGGAGCGCACAGCCTACCTGCGAGTTCCAGAGGATCTCCCCAGCTTTTGTTCTGCACTGGACATTCCTCTAGTTGAGCTTCCAGATTGGTACAGATCTTTGCGTCTTCCAAATGCTACTGAATCTGGTCGAGTACCAAGTGACATGGATTGGCAAGGCCCCCATCTCTGCCGCCGCTGATCAGTCCCTTCCACTCCTCCTTGCCTAGCTACCGCTATTTTTTCTTTTTAGACACGAGGTGTTACTTGATTTTTAGAATGTTGTGGAGTCCTGCGGGAGCAGGGTGGGAGATGGATGGTTTGAGTTTTTGAGAGGGAGCCGGGAAGAGAAGAGTTAGGACAGATGAGAAATACCTTAGGGTTCCAAAAAGAAACGGTGCACTATGTCTCATTTTTCCCAATTGTTTCCTTTGATGGTGGCTTTTTTTTTTTTTTTTTTTTTTTGAATGGTTGCCCTGCTGTTTCTGTGATGTTGCACTGTTGTTGCCATAAACAGATTATGATACGATTTGCTTTTCATCTTAATGATATGCAGGCTTTCCATCTGAATTTCACTGATGTTTTATTTTCAGCATAGACTCGCACACTGGCCCTACCACAGCACACCTACAATACCACAACTCTGCCCATAACTTTAGGATCATGCCACGACTGCATTCCACTTAGAACTGCATTTTCTCATTTCCCTACATACAATGCTTCCACAACTATACGCCCTAATGATATATATTCGGTTTCCTTGCCCTCATGACATTTATTACATTTTCCTTCTGATATCCCTAATCTTGTTGCTGCGTCTTACCTCGCCCATTATGTTGGATGATGGCGGTTGTGCCCCCATCTATATCTTCATTCAAACGAATTGTGCTCACCCTCCCTGATTCTTGCATTTATTAAGGTCCATGGCCTGATGGACTCTTTCTTTT